ACCACCCACGGAGGCCTGCGTCCCAGCCTGGAGGCTCAGCCGGCCCCCCCGCAGCTGCCGGGCTGGGTCCCCGCAGACCTGCTGCGTTATGGCCCCCTCTACAACGACATGCTGGGGGAGATCGACACCGCAACGGTGCAGCAGCTGGACGCCGACCTGGTTGCTGGGACTGAGGAGCGGGAGATCTACGCCGAGCTGATGAAGGACCTGTTTTCCCAGCCGCCGAGCTTCGACCTGGGGCCCGTGGTGGCGCCGGCTCCCCCCGGCCTGGACCTGAGTGGCTACCTGGCCTCCCGCACGCTGAGCCGGTGCAAGGAGGAGCAGGTGGTGAACATGGAGCTGAGCCGTGTCCTGGCCGACGGGGCCCTGAGCCCTGAGGGTGTACCCGCCCTGGAGCCTACACTGCAGCACACAGGGGCCTGGCGCCAGTGGTGGGAGAGCACGATGCTGCCCGATGAGTACTTGAAGTTCCTCGCTGTCCAGGACTCCGACTTCCTGCATGTCATCTTCCAGCTGTACGACAGCAAGTCATGCCCACTGCCCTCCCTGGAGCCAGCACCGCGGGCCCCCACATCCCCACTACCGCTGCGGCGGGAGCCCACGCGCCATGCTCCCATCGCCCAGCCAGAGGAGCACGTGCCCGGGCTGTGGGATGCCACCTCTGCCCTAGTGGACCAGAGCCAGGAGTGCCAGCCTGAGGACCTGGGGCCACTGCAGAGGCGCTTAGAGCGGCTCTGGACCGCGCTACGCTTCCCCGACCGGGAGAAGCTGGACATGGCTGTCAAATACAGCTCTGGCCGGGCCCATACCCAGCTCCCAGCCGCGCTGGATGCGTGGGAGCAGGCGGCCAAGGCCATCCAGGAGCGGGAGCTGCTTCTGGCCGAGCTGGAGGCCCTGGAGCAAGCCGCTTCTGATCCCAACCGCTTCTTTGCGCGGGTGCCCGCCGCCTTTGTGGCCCGTGCCTGGGAGGCCCGTATGCGGAGCCGGCTGCAAGCCGCCATGGCTCCGCACGAGGCTGAGCTCAGAGCCCTCCTGCCCCGCATCTGGCGACGCTTTGGGGACACGGTGACCTACCGGGGCCGGCCCTACCTGGAGAAGCTGCGGTGGGACAAGGTGGAGATGCTGTACTGGCTGCAGCAGGGGGGCCGGGCCCGCTGCCCGGGCCCGGGGGGGCGGCTGGGCCGGGGCCCCCCCCCGGCCACGGGGGGGGGGGCTGTCCAGGCTCCCACCCCTGGCACAGGTGGGTGGAGGCACCATGCTCCCTCCTTCGCTGCAGTGACAGGGGCAAGTGGGCCACAGATGTTGTTGGTTGGCGTCCCCAAAGCCTGCTGGGCACATGCCAAACTGTCAATAAATGCACTGAAAATGCCAACAGCTGCCTGCTCCTTGCCCTTGGAGGTGGGGTATGATGGGATGGGCCTGGCACTCACACCCCCTTCTAGGCAAAACCCTGCCATGTGGCTGGCCATGGGGCATCTTTGCTCCTGGGTGGGTTTCTTCAGCCCTGTCACACGTGCCCTAGACTTGGCCCAGATCCCCACCCCCAGGGTGCCCACACACTCATAACACCACAGCCAGCTTTTGCCCTAGGAAAATACGTTTATTTCTTCCCCCCTCCAGAAAAAAAGAAAGAAAATGGTCCCGCTTGCCCCACTGGCCTCCCCCCTCCCCTCCTTGCAGGGCCAGGGGAGGCCTCCGACCTACCCTGGGCCAGGCCCTGGCTCTGAGCCCCATGGGGACATGGCCAAGCCAAGCAGAGGGACTGTACTGACCTCCCACACTGCCCAGACAATCCCCACGCGGCGGCTGGAGAATCACGGTGGCAACCCCGTGGCACTTAGCTTGGGAGTCTGGGCCAAGGAGAGGGCTGCAACCCAGCCAGAGGGGCTGCAGTGCCTTCCACCCCACAGGACCCCCCTCCCCTCCACTTCCCACTTCTCTCCTCTGCAGTAGGGGCCGGGGCCTCTGTCCGGTCACTCCTCTCCATTCTCCCCACGGGCACCCGACGGCGCTTCGGGGCCAGGGAACCGTCCATGCGGGGACAAGTCCGAGAGGGTCGAGAGCAGGGGCCTAGGTGAGGGCGTCCTTGAACTGCTGGACGATGCGGGCCCGCACAGCCCGGGCCTCGCTAGAGATCTGCACAAAGGGCATCTGCACGGGCAGGTCGGGCTCGGCCTCGGGCCCGTCGGGCGAGGCTTCGGCCTCAGCCAGGTCGAGGGGCATGCGGCGGCCCAGGGCGATGTTGTGCAGGATGCAGCAGGCCAGGAAGATCTGGCAGACCTTCTGGGGCGCGTACTGCAGGGAGCCGCTGGCCTTGTCCAGGCAGCGGAAGCGGCGCCGCAGCAGGGCGCAGGTCTGGCGCAGCACGGCCAGCGCCTCGTGGTGCCGCGCGTTGTAGCGCTCCTCGGCCGCGCTGCACGGGAACAGGATGGGCGTCATCAGCCACGTCTTCAGCGGGTAGCTGCGGTCGCCTGCGGGCAGAGTGGACACGCTGGAGCCGGCACTCCACACACAGCCCCAAGTGGCTGGGACTGGAGCCCCGGTGCGTCTGTAGCTCACGGGGCTCCGAGCCAGAAACAGCTCCCCCCACCTCACGTCTCTGAAGCATACACAGCCTCTTCTGCCCGCCACCAAGGGGCTGAGTGCCCCCCTCAGCCCCCTGCTTTCCCCAGAGGGGTGTTATCCAATTCCAGGCTGGAAAGGGACCCCCGCAGGTCACGTCTAGTCGAATCCCCAGTTCACCTAGTCCATAGAGGCCTAGAGCCACGGGGCTGGAGGGGACTGGCATGTTTGGACTGGCATGTGTCACATCTAGTCCAACCCCCCGCCTGAGGCAGGATCTGCCCTGTCCAAACCATCATCCAACCACCGTCATCCCTGACACAGCACTTGGCAGGGGGTGTCAGAGCTGCTCCCCAGGGACCCTGCCTGGACAGGGATGGGTCTGGGTTTAGCCCTGCCCTGTCCCCACCCCCAAGATCGCCCGCCCCGGGGCCCCGCCTCACCCAGCAGCCAGAGCCCGTCGGGCCGGGTGCCATCCAGCAGGCGGGCCAGGGCGGAGTTCTCCAGCACGGCGGCGTTGGGGCAGGAGCCCGGGTACTTGGCCACCACGTTGGTGATGGCGCCGCGGGCGTCGCACACCAGCTGCATGTTCATGGAGTGGTAGTTGCGGGCATTGCGGTAGGCCAGCTCGTTCTCCGAGGGCGCCCGCAGCGCCACATGCAGGCTGCCCACCAGCCCCAGCACGCCGGGGAAGCCGCCGGGGGTCCGT